GTGGTGGTGAAGGTAATGTTGAGAAGAAAAAGGTTGTTGGAAAAGTTATTTATGCATTGCAACAATCAATGGTTATGGAGAGTGGTAGAAGAAAAGCTTCATTTGATAGATTAAGTGGTTTTAATAAACAAATAAGTTTTAATAAACCTAATGTAAATTTATTTCATTAAATTAAATTCACATGGTCATCACTTAAAATACCAACATTGCAAAAAATTTGGCACCTGTACTGCCACGTCACCTTCCTCTAAACAAATATACGTCAGGGACCAAAAGCGTTGACGACAAATATTTGGAGGATGATTCTTTAAAAAAAACATTTACAGGGACAAAATGTGAAATTAGATAACTGTATAGAAACTAAAATATATTTAACCCTTGTTTCCATGATTTTTATTCACTATCTTAAAATGGGAACAACAATAACATACATTATCAATACTCCATTTTGTTGCGACCATTTTCATGGTCACATGTCATTTTTTAAAACTTAAAAGAAGGTACTTGAATCATGGACAAGCATGCCAGGTGGAAATCATTAATGCCAATGACAATCCATGATCATGGAACAATTACATAAATACTTTAAGATCTATTTTTTTAGCATCAAGCTTATGCATGCAATAGATGAAGTAGTTGACAAAGAATCACTAAAGAAAAAGACTCAATTTGAATTGATTATAAACACCTAAGGTGAGATATTGTTGGCCCAAAGTGAGACCCCAAAGAGGATCTTGTCACTAGTTACATGATTACTGACTACATCATTGATGACAACCCCTTTGAATTCGAGAAAAGGTCGAAGGATGAGAATAAAATAGATTAAGGACCCATTAAAAAATTAATGTAGTATTGAAAAGTGTTTCCATTACTTTGCGACTGTTACAATTTCACTAAGATATATAATGGTCCAACTGACTTATATTTTAGAGTTCTCATACACAATGAATTGACCCTAATTGGATCTTTTTGTCTTCTTAAATAATCTTGCTACAACTTAACCCTTCGAGGAAATACATTCATATAAACAAATAATTCTTCATGTCTTTGCAAATATCACTCAATAGAGGATGCAAACAAATTTAAGTACAAATACAAGTGTTTAATATTTCAAATTAAATGTATACAATGAAATCACTAGATGTTTTCTTCTTCTTTTTTCTTTGAGTAAAGCTTATTCTCTATCGAGTATGGAAATCTAAACGTAAGAGGTCTATGTATGCTCAACCAAAAAAATTTGGTATATGGATTACCTCCAATGAAAGAACCAAGTCAAGTACGTGGGGAATGCTGTAAAGCAAAGCAAGCTAGAAATAAGTTTAAACATTACTTGTCTATAAAGTTGAGAGAAAAGTTGGAGCTTGTTCACTCTGACGTGTGTGGACCTTTTGAAGTAAGGTCAAATAGAGGTAATTGTTATTCCCTAACCTTCATAGATGAATTCACTAGATATATGTGGATTAACCTTATTGAAATAAAGAGTGAGATATTCACACAGTTCAAGAAGTTTAAATTGTATGTCGAGAAATAAAGTGGATGCAAGTTAAAGAAACTGAGAACGTATGGTGGTGGTGAATACACCTCTAGAGAATTTTCAAGATTTTGCACTGATGAAGGTATATAGCATGAGGTCATTTCACCCTATACACCACAACATAATGGTATAGCTAAGAGGAGAAATATAAATATACTGAACATGACTAGGAGCTTGTTGAAAGCTAAATAAGTGCCAACGAGATTTTAGAGTGAAACAGCTTGGACAACATTATACATTCTAAGCAGATGGCCAACGAAGAAGATATTCGAGAAGATACCTTATAAGGCTTGGACAAGACAAAATCCAAATGTTAGTCATCTTATAGTTTTAGGATCAATGTGCTTCAAGCATGTACCTGATCAATTGACGAAGGAACTAGAAGATCAAGTCAGGCTATGGTACTCATAGGTTATCATTCGAATGGTACATACCAATTGTATTCACCAAAGGATGATAAATTTGTTATAATTTTAGATGTTCTAGTGGATGAAAGCAAAGAGTGGGATTGAGGTCAAGGTTTAGTTCGACGGGAGCAAGAAAGAGTCATAATTTTGCTTGATAAAGTCCAACAGACTGAAGTCACAATAAATCAAAACGAAGAACCACATGAGCATAATGTTAGGAGATCGACTAAAGCAACAACTAAGTCGATAAGAATAGATGGATATGAGAGATTTCCAAATCAAGCGGTCGATAAAGTTGGTGACTTAATAGAAGAAGTAATGATGATGATTGAATCATAACCAACCAATTTGAATTAAGCCATGAATGATTTGAATTGGTTAACAACCATGCAAGAAGAACTCAGGGCAATCGAGAAGAACAAGACCTGAGTACTTGTCGAGGAATCAATCAAGAAGCTAATTGATATGAAGTGGGTCTACAAGTTGAAGTTAAGGTTGAATGGTGAGATTGCTAAGCACAAGGAAAGAATGGTGTAAAGAGTTTTTTTTTGCAAAAACCATGTATTGATTTTGACAAAGTTTATATACTCGAGGCAAGGCTAGAAACCATCAAAATTGTTCTGTCGACTGCATCATACAAAGGATGAAAGATACATTAAATAGATGTAAAGTCATCATTTCTGAATGGACCTTTGGAAGAAGAAATATATGTCAGTCAACCACCAGGATTCGAAATCAATGGGCAGGAGTCAAAGGTATACAAAATGAGGAAGATTCTCTATGGTTTGAAGCAATCCCCAAGGGCTTGGAATAAGAGAATAGGTAGCTTCCTGGTTGAAATAGGGTTCTCAAAATGTGTCTTAAAACATGGAATGCATGTCAACAACGAAAGCAGGTTTAGTCGAGTCATCATATACTTGTATGTGGATGACTTGCAGATTACAAGTGTATATAAGGCATAATTCAAAGGTGTCAAGTCAAAGTTAATGAAAGAGTTTGAAATGTCCGGCCTAGGAAACTTGTCATATTTTTTAGGGAAGGAATTTAAAGACAGAAGTGAAGAAGTGTTTCTGCATCATACCAAGTATGCTTAAGACATCTTGAAGAGGTTCAAAATGAGTAATTGTAATGCAATAGTTACATCATTGGAGATTGCAGTAAAGTTGAGAAAGGAAACAAATGATGAGTTTGTAAGTATAATAGTGTACAGACAAATCATTGGATCCTTAAGGTATCTTTGTAATACCAAGTCAGACATTTGTCAAAGTGTCGGATTGTTGACCAAGTTCATGAAGAAGCCTCAAGAATGTCATCTAACAGTAGTCAAGAGAGTGTTGAGATACATCAAAGGTACGATTGATCATGGTGTGTTAATGTCGAGGTAGAAGAATACCAGCACAAATGCAGAGGTATATGGTTACACAGATTCAGATTTCAGTGGAGATCAAGATGAGAAAAAAGTATTGCAGGCTATATATCCATGATTGGAGGTGTCCCAATCTCATGGAGTTCAAGAAAGAAAAGCATTATAACTTTGTCTTTTTGTGAAGTTGAGTATGTGGTTGCATCATATGCAGCATGTAAAGTAGCATGCATATAGATGTTGCTCGAAGAGCTCAAGATAATGAAACTTAAGAAAATAAAATTATTTGCCAACATCAAGTCAACTATCGATCTGGTGAATCAACCTATGTGTCATGGTTGAAGTAAACACATAGAGAAGAGGTATCATTTTCGGAGGGATCAAGTTAACCAAGGAAAGCTTGAACTTGAGTATTGCAAAACAGAATAGCAACTAGCTGATATACTTACCAGCCCCTGAAAAAATTTAGGTTCGATGAGTTGAAGAAAAGTATTGAGGTGAGAAGTCTCGAAAACATGAATTAGGTGGTATGTTAGAAATTGTAATTCAGTGTTTTGTAATAAGATACGTTCGAATGAGGTGTGTTCGATCAAACCGAATTAAGAGCAAACTATATTCGATAGAGTAAAATACATCAAATAGATGTTGTATTAAAATCCAAATGTAGTTTTGTATGTTTTAGAATTGAATCTTAATTGCCTCTATATAAACATACCTTTATAGTTTTCAAATAAAAACTTTATTATAATCAATTCAATTTTAACTTAATAATATTATCTCTTTTCTATTTTTTCTTAAAATCCTAATTATTAGAACCGAGTATAAGTTGAGAAAAAAAAAGTTTTATGACAATGAGGTTGAAGGGTTCAATAAACATGTGTTAGAGTTTGGAGTTTGGCTTTTCTTCCCTTACTCTCTTTAAGAAATAAAATTGAATAAATTGGAGTTTGGCTTTTCATCTCCTACTCTTTTAAAGAAAAAACTATTAATTTGACCAAAAAAAGAGACTAGATAATGTTAGAGTTGTAAGGGTATGTTCTCTTTTAAATTTTTGGCTTTGACTTTTGAAGTTTATTTGTTTACGGATACTATTATGTTTTCTTTTCGGTTTCTTTAGTTTGAATCGTGAATGACTTACATTAGTGATTTTATACAAATTTGTTTTGATTGAGTGAATCAAAAATCTTTCAATCTTCGTTTTGATAAAGATAACTAGAGGGAATCATTCATAAGTGTTTGACTCTATTATCTTGTAGGGAACACTGACAATTTTTTCTACAAAACTACTTCTAAACACGTATGTTATCTCATTGAAAAATTGTTTAGATTGATGCTACAAAGATTTATTTGTATACTTAATAAGAGAAACGTGTAGCTATCTTGCTCATATTTTTTAGGGCAATGAAATACAAGTAACACAAAAATTTCGATTTTTAAAATGATTTTTATAGTGTTTTATAATAAGAGTCAAATATGTTCCTAAAATATGAACATGAAACTAAGTAACAAAAACGCATCAGATTCAAATATTATCATAATACATTATGGTAGTGAAAAACTCGAAGGTAACACATAAAAACGAATATATAACATAAAATTTAAACATACATTACATGTCCAACATCTTTATAAAATAAACAACATTACAATACATGAAAAAGAAAGAAAAAAAGAACTTACATAAGGTAGTACAATACTAGCATATAGGTAGAGGAGCACCATTCCATTCCTTAAGACATTCCAACATAGGATCAATGAAACTTCCATCACACAATGCTGAGAAAACCTTGTCACATTCTTCACCAGGTGACTTAATTTTCTCACCTGTCAGCAAACTTGTCCCCAAATCTTCTCTCAGAAACTTGTACAATGGATAAGACCTACATTCCTTGATCCGGTTAGGAATTGCGGGGTTTCCATTTTCAACTTCAGCTCTTGCATTTTCAACCTCTTTAGGTAAAAGGCTCTTAAGCTCTTCCTCAAAAGCTCCAATCTTTTGGAAAATTGAGGTTGCTGAATTTGCCTCCTTTTCGCCGTTTTGCAGTGCATGATCAACTAGTACATGTCTCAGCTTCTGCGTTAGAGGGTATGTAGCACTGCAGGGGTCGTCAATGTAAGCGAACACATACTCGCGTTCAACAACATTTAGCAAATCCTTCTCGCAGAACCTTGATGGATGCAACTCGCCATTTACACCGACTGTGAGAATTCTCTTAGCCACTTGACTCACAGTGTTCTTGACTACGGTTTTCAGGTTTTCTTCAATGTGCCTCAGATCAATTGCTTGGCACAATGCGACTAAGTAAGTCGATGACATGAGTTTCAATATTTCAACTGCTTCGGCAGTTTTTCTTGATGAAATCAAGCCTAAGGAGTTAACATCTTGGTTATGCTGCTCGGCACTTTGAACATGAGTAGTGACAGGATTGGCAAGGTATTGAAGTTCTGAGCAATAGGATGCCATTGCAATTTCTGATCCTTTGAAGCCGTAATCCAAACTCGGATCGCGGCTCGCGGTTAGGTTCGAAGGCAATCCGTTGTTATAAAAATCATTCACAAGCTCAGAGAATTGCGCAAACATGAGTTTCCCGATTGAAGCAATGGCTAAACGCGTGTTATCCATGGAAACGCCGATCGGTGTACCTTGGAAATTCCCTCCATGAAGTGCCTTATTCCTTGAAACATCAATAAGTGGATTGTCATTCACAGAATTTATCTCCCTCTCAATCATCTTCGTTGCGTGCCGAATCACTTCAATCTGCGGTCCAAGCCACTGAGGCGACGTCCGAAGCGCGTACCTATCTTGTTTAGGCTTCTGAAGTGGATCCATTTCATGTACTTTTTGTGCAGCCTTAACATAATAACTTCCATCTAAAATATGTTCCATTATAGCAGCAGCCTCAATTTGACCAGGATGGTGTTTCAGCTTATGAGTCAAATGGTCACTGAATTCAGGCTTTCCTTGCATAACCTCGGCGAAAATCGCCGACAAAAGCTCCGACAAAACAACAAGTAAATTCGTCTCAAAAAGAACCAACGAAGCCAAACCTGATCCAACAGCAGTACCATTCACAAGAGCCAAACCTTCTTTCGGCTGCAACTTGAAAAAACCAGTTTCGATTCCGGCTAGTTGAAAAGCCTCTTTAGCATTGAGAATTTTTCCATCAGGTCCAATAGATTTCGAGTTCGGACGTCCGATTAAAAGGCCGGCAACATAGGATAAAGGAACCAAGTCACCTGATGCAGTGATTGTGCCTCTTAATGGAAGACATGGTGTTATGTTATGGTTGAGAAATTTTGCTATTGCCTCCATGATTTCAAACCTTATTCCTGAATATCCTTGAAGCAGTGTGTTGATTCTCACCAACATGGCTGCTCTTGTAGCTGTGTGAGGTAATGTTTGAATTGTTTCCGTTCCATTGCCGAAAATTCCGGCATTCAGAAATCTGTTACAATGAAATAATTGTCAAATCGTGTTAGTATCACAAACAATTCAGATCAAAAATTTGTTTGGTGTCCGACATATATCAATGTGATTATAACTATTAATGAGATAAAATTCATACAATGATTAGTCATGAATACTGTATGAAATTCCAAACAACTAAAAAACATGTTGAATGAGACATATTAACAAGGATGATTTTTCAAATAATTGATTCATGTTAAGTCAAACAACTATGTTCTATAAAATCGTGCTAGTCACTAATGAATTAAGATTAATTAAATGATTAAGAGTCAATTAGGATGAATGAAATTATGAAAAACTACAAAAACGACATTAAATATGGAACATGTGAAATGAATGGTTCATAGACGTGACGTGAATAGTAAATGGTTTGTCATTATATATATTGAGAAATTCTTGGTGGTCCATCCATGATGAATGTAGATACATTTCTGTGACTAAAGTTTTTATTTTCTCAAACAATAAATAAAAACATAAACATTATTTCATTTCACATGAAATCTGACACTTCTAGTCTTCTACTGCTACACAAATTGATGATTTTTTTGTCTCCATGTACCAAATAAAAAATGCAAAAGCTTTTTTCAATTAAAATCAGAGAACAAAAATAATTGTAAAAATAAAACAAAAAAGTTCTCAAACATAATTGTAAAATAAAACAAAAAACCTATCATTTTTGTTTTTCTATATCATAATTATTAGACAATTGGACCTACACACTGACTCTACATGTGAAAGATTATCACTTGTAACTGTACATAATAATAAACCGAAAAAAATTCAGTACTTGTGAAATTAATATTGTAAATTAAATAGTGAATAATTTATTTATGTCACATGCAATTCATTTTGGGGAATATAGTGCTGTTTCTGTCGATAAATAAATGCCTTTATTGTTCTTTCTTTATTCTTGTCGCTTTGAAAATATATAACAATAAATATGTAATAATATTCTATAATGCTTTTAAAACTAAAATTTTAAGATATTAAATTTATAAATCTCTTACTTATTAATTATTGAACATATATTTCTTTAATCTAATACTTACATTTCATATGCAGAGTCAATTTATCTATTTTTATTGATTATGGATTTAATAGAGTTATAAATTAAAGAAAGGATAATAATAATAATAATAATAATAATAATAATAATAATAATAATAATAATAATAATAATAATAATAATAATAATAATAATAATAATAATAATAATAATAATAAATTTACATTAGAAAATTTAGCATTCAACGTATAGATGCCTTCGCACAAAAACTATTTTTTTCAATCACAATGCATATGAACTGAACTATATGATACAAACTATTTCAATAATATAGATTTACAATGAATTAATGTAATTTTTCAAGATTTAATATTTGAGTACTTTACTAAATAAATTATATGTGAGTCCTATCAACAAATATGATATCCATTATTTGAAGTGTACAATTCATATTAATTTCATGAAAATAGAGTTTTTAAATGCCCTCATTAGCTAATACTTTTACATTACTAATATTTTTTTATAAAATTTAATTGATATATTCTGACATAATAAAATAAATTTACACTGTCAATTAATTATATCCGCTGATTTATTTGAAATGTTTGACTTTTATTTTAACTACTTAAAAAATATTATCAACAGATGATTGCGATGCATTGACAGTGTAAAATTTTTTACACTCACAACACATAACAATTAATCTCTTCTTTTTATATTTTTATTTAGATATATTTTTAATCCGTTGATGTTGATTCAACACTTTTTTTTCTATTTCATTTTGTATTAAATTATGTTTTTTTAAATAAATAACTATTTATAAATTAATTATTTCTTAAAATTTAAAATTTGAACATCACACTAATTTTTACCTATATTTCTTTTCTTAATGATGACTTAGGGCTAAAACTAACTCATCATTTATTATTTTTGAGTTACAAAATATAATCATAAATATTACCATAGAAAAAGTGGTTACTACATCCTGCAATCACAAGTTACACACAGCCATTATTTATGTTTTATAAACAACAAATTAAAGAAACAAACAAAAGCACACAAATGTAATACACACATATGTTCAATTTCAATTAAAAATATCAAATCATGACATAACCCCCTACCTAACAACATCTAGCAGATCACTAGTAACCCACCTACCCCCAACTTAGGGTAAATATAAATATTCAGTTTAACAAATCCATTAATGAACTAACCAAAACCGAGACACAAGTTATTATAATATCTCACCAACATAGGCTATGATACCATTTAAATATATTTTTAGACATAAGTTTCATTTAGATATTATTAAACAAAAAATATCATACCTTATCATAATATATTTCATTAAAAAAAACTTACTATAATAGATAGATATGATTAAAGGAGTTTGTAAACTAAATATTTTTAAACATATTAGTTATTAAATTTCATTAAAATGTTTCTATAGTAAAAAAAATATTTTATGCATATAATAAAATTGTCTAAATTTTTTTATATAAATTATTTATTTTCTACATACTATGTCTTTGTTATTAAATTAAATATTTTTTTAAAAATAAACATTTAATCAAATTGTTCAATAATATCACTTAGTTTTTTTTTCTATAATATTATAATCAAAAAATATTTCAACTATATCTATTTAGTTAATCAACTTCAATTAGATTTCTTAACCTTAAATAAATATCTCAAGATATCTCCACAGATTTTTGAGTAAATATTTCTTTCATTCAGAATGGACACATTAAATGAAATTCTAAAAATTAACCAGAGTTACTTTTGTTAGATATAGTGTTATTGTCAACCCAATTAACACCATATTATTATTTATATATATTTTGCTGTCGTGTATAAAAATGAAAATGAAAATGCATAACTGCTAAATCTTAATAACTTAAATAAATCTTTTAAGTTAAAAGAAAAGTTAATTATTTACCTTATGAGTTCATTTTGGAGAGCACCACCTTGTTTTGTTCTCCTGTGAGAGGTTGCACCAAACCCAGTGGTTACTCCATAACTATCCGTCCCTTTGTTCATACTATCAACCACCCAATCACTACTAGCTTTAACAGCGGCGCGTGTCTCTTCGGCAAGTTCAACCGCCACACCGGTGTTGTGTGTAGCAATCGCGGCCACTTGAGATATCGTTAACCCCTTTCCACCTAACAGCACAACCGGCTTCCGGTACTCCTCCACCATTCGCTTCACCCCATCAAGATGACTGCCTCGCATTGAATCCGCCGCCATACCCCAATTCAAAGGATCATCAGTTCCACCATTGCAAAAATTCAACGAAGAACCACTATTGTTGTTATTACCATTGCTATTATCTCCATTTGAAAACTCCATGATTTTGTGATGATGATAGCAACGATGAAATTGAAGTTATGGATATATTTATAGTTTGTGTGCGAAGAGATAGATCTTATTTGAGTTTTGTGGGTTTGCGTTACGTAGAAAGATATATGTTATATGGTTTACAGGAGGGAATTTGGGGAAATAGGTGAATGGCAGTTAGGAATTGTAACAAAAGTGGAAAGGAACAATATTGGATTAATGTGGGGTAATATACTTGATTGTATAAAGAAATATTTATTTCATCATAGGAAATGAAAAACGGCAAAAAGTTTTTTTTTTTTGGTTTTAGGAAAGAAAAAATTTCCTGAAAAAATAGAATGGAAAATGGGAAGTATATATAGATGGGTCGGTGACATTAGTGTAGTTTGGTAGGACGATGGGTTAGTTGAGAAAGAAACGTGGCCGTTGGATGCACATAAGAATGGAAGGTTTGGATGTGACACGTGGGTTGGTGAGTTTTGTGACAAAAATTGCTAACACCATAACATATAGAAGCGGAGGAGAGAAGTTAGTGGATATGAAATAAAAGTTTTGTTTAAAAAACACTAAATTGTAAATATATTTTAATAATAAAAAATCTGAACCTAAATTAATAATTAATCTATATTATATTTCTCTTATTAAAAATTTGATTTATGCTTCTGAAAATAGTTGATTGAATTTTTTTAAATTAATTTTTGTAATTGTTTTTTTGTCCAATTGTCCTTGATTTGTTTTGAATTTCTTTAAAAAAAAATTAAGTCATTTTGAATTGTTTTCCTCTGTCTCCTTAATCTGTTTATTGACAACACTAAATGCATAGGCCGGCCAATGCTTATAAAAAAACACAATTATCCCATCACAAATTGGAATGAAATGACCAGTAAAGAAAAGAAAATAAGTCAACCACAATATGCTTTATATAGATTTTTTCAACTTGTTTTAAAAATAATTTTTATAATGTTATAGATTTTAATTTAAAAATAATTTTAAAAAAAACTTTTGTATAAATAAAATATTATTTTAAGTATTTTAACATTTCACTATATCTTTTTTATAACAAAATTTGAAAGAATCATTTAAATTAGGAATTATTTTACATTATTTTTTATAAAAATCATTTTCAAATATTTATGTGATTTGGCTATATTTTAAATTTTAATAATATATATTTATATTATTGAATGTCAAAATTAATTTTTTTATTTATAAAAATAAATTTATAAAAACTTTTAATATATAAACAAAATTAATAATTTTTTTTTAAAATTTAAAAAATATATTTTTAAAAAGGTAACACAAGCTTCCCGTTTACGTGTGTAAAAATAAAAGAATACGGTTTTAAATGGATCATTGCATTTTTTTTTACAAAATATTCAAATTGGTCCCTTAAGTCTACCTCGATGTCTAATTTGATCCCTTAATTTTAAAAAGTTTCAAGTTATCCCTTAAGTTTTAAAATGGTGTCATATTAGTCCTCGTCATCAATGACCTTCAAACGTCTGTTTATGTGTGCAGACGTGGCATATGAGTTGGCATATTGGTTCATTTTATTCGTTAAGACAGTCAAAGTGTTCATTCCAGTCCCAAATTGCTTCACAAATTCGACCTAGGGCTAGGGCAAACTGGAAATAGATATTCAAGCATGACATCAAATGGATCTTCCTCATTGTTGGAAAAAAATGCAGAAGGTGGTTGTTCTTCGAAGGAAGGTTCGAATCTGTATACAAGCTTCGGTTGTAAACCCTTATGTCATTGTGGGGACCTGGCCATTCTTCGAAGGACAACAACGGTTAAAAACTATGAAAATTTTTTCTGGAATTGTCCTAATTATAAGGTATATTTCATGTAAATTTGATGTTTGTACTTTGGAAAACATATGTTGCTGCAACTATTTGATTTGTAGCCTATGAATTTTTCAGGGATCTATGCAAGTTGGGTGTGGTTACTTTGGTTGATTTTATGATGATGTTGGAGATGAGAAGGAGTAGTTTTGGATGGATAGAATTAAAAAGCTATCAAAGGCAGTTGCAAAAGGAAAAATGGTGAATGAAGAACTTGGGCAACAACGAATCAATTTTGAAAGTGAAATGAAGAAAATTATGAAGTGGAAAAAACTTTGGAATTTGATGTTGTTTATGATTATAATTGTACTAGTTTTTAAAATGAGTTAGGGAAACATTTTATGTGTATCAGTTTGTACCAATTGAAATGAATAGACAAGTTTTAATTTTGTATTAGTTGTTTGTATCAGTTTGTACCAGTTGAAATGAATAGACAAATTTTAATTTTTAGAATGAATTTGGTATTGCATTATTGTATCAGTTGTTACAATTTTATTGATGTGTTTTTGCATTGTTGTATCAGTTGTGTCCGTTACTGATAACATTTGTTCCATAATATGTTCCATAATTCAAAATGCCAAAATATGTTCCATAATTCAAAATATGATAACATTTGTTCCATAAGTCATAGCCAAAATACATAAGTCATAGCTTGTGACAGATTACATAAGTCATAGCCAAAATACACAAGTCATAGCTTGTGACAGATAACAGATAACAAAGTGAACATAAAAAAATGCTAATGGTTCAAACTTAAACTAACAAAGTGAACATAACAAAATGCCACAAACTTAAACTAAATTTTCCAAGTTGGTGTTGATCTCTTTGTTGGTGTTGATCTCCTTGTTGTTGGCTGTTGGGATTCATGAGTGACTCCTTGTGAAACTTGTGTTGATGGTTATTGGGATGGATGTTGGCTAGATAATGTCACCTTGCAAGTAAGCTTGACCTAGTTTCTTACATCTGCTACACTTAACATTAAAAACGGTCCTTCTCATTTTTCTGTCTAAACCATCAATCTCACCCTGCTCTAAATTCCTTATCTTTTTTGGCCTTCCAAGCATCTTCCTATATTTGGGTGGTTGCACATCTAGATACTCAGTCCTTACCCAAAGATTTGAGCCATTAACTGGAAAAATAACATGTTTATACACTTCTATATATCTTGCTTTTCTGCAATAATCTGGAATGTAGTTGTCAATTTTATAGTTCATACTCTTTATAGTTGACAGTGCATGAACACAAGGTAGGCCTGTCACTTCCCATCTTCTGCATGAACATATATGCTCCTTCAAGTCTACTAAAAACTTGTCAGCTTGGTTTTCAAGGTGCCTAACCTCAAAGATATGCTCATCAAACATCCTAAAACATAAATCTATGATCATCAGACATAGTAGTTTGAAACACTTCATCAGATATAATATTAAACTTATGTTAAGTTCATGTATATTACCTGATAAGCCAGAGGTTTATCAGCATCTATTTTCAAATCAGCAACCTCACCCCTTTCGTACATACTCAATTTGTCATCAACAAACTCACCACTATGGTGTATTTTTAGGTTCAAATACTCATCCATTTAAACCTATGTCATATGTTCTAAAAAGAAGCGCATAAAAAAAACACAAATTTCAGAGACGAAGTTGATAGCCCTAAAACTATAAAAACCCTAAAATGAACAAAAAAAATCACTTAAATCACTAGAAGTCATACCTGGTTGTCTTTGATTTCAACTTGAAGAGTAGAGATTGCGTCAAATCGCAGCAGAATCACCTTCAACATGCAACAATGGCTACGCTAGGGTTCCACTTTCTTTACTTCATTTCCTTCTGAGAACAATGCCTTCATTTCACTCCTCTTTCTTTTTTAAATTTACACATTTCACATGGCATCCACATGACATGAATACTCACACATTAGCCCCATGTGTGCGCCAACTATACAATCCCATTGACTTTGATTAACGATTTTGACAGTAAGGACTAACGTGACACCATTTTAAAACTTAAGGGGCCACTTTAGAACTTTTTAAAATTAAGGGACCAAATTGGACCCCGAGGTAAACTTAAGGGACCAATTTGAGTATTTTGCCTTTTTTTTTATAAAATAGTTTACTTTAAAATATGTAAAATAGGATAGGAGGTTAACATTTTATTACAATATCCTAACTGTTTTAAAGGATTCTCATAATGGTTGAATCGTTGCTAAACTCTTTTAAATCTTTATATTTGTACTTCATACAAAAATTGAATATTTTTACTAGACATAGCAACACAATTCATTCTTGCAAGTATTCGTCAGAATCCGCCCTAGATTTCATAGTTATAATTCGTTTAGACTAATTTTAGATTCGGATTTAGGTTTTTCTTGATTATAAAATAAGAGAACGAGTCGGATAATGAGGACACTAGTACCCACCCAGAACTCGCCCCGTTTATTTTATTATTTTAGATTTGATAATTTAGAATATTAAATATGTAGTTAATGTTTTGATATTTTTATTTTTATTTATTATTTAGAACATTTAAAATGTATATACGCGACTTTTTGAGATTTTTTTATTTTATTATTTTGAATGTAATTTGATTTTAGGAAAATAAAATTTTTAATAAAAAATTAATTTTACTAAATAGATGGTGGCGAGGGCAGGGTACTCGATCCTAACCGAAAGTCGTTTGGAAAGAGTTTTGGTTTTAATTCTCTATATTTGATGGGGATTGGAGCGGGAAACAAAAATTGTTTAAGGATTCAGGTTTGAGTTTTAATTCTCTATTATAAGTGCACTTTCCATTTAAAAATATTTTGAATGATGTCAAAACTGTAACACTTAATATTTATGTATATTGTATCTTATCCTCTGTGTCAAGATGTGCATTTTTATCTTAGGTTACTTAAAATTAGTTTATAAATGTTTTTACAAGTTAAAATCAAGTTTTTATGTGAAAACTAGTCTATAGGTCGACACATTTTAGCTAGAGGTTAACACATACTGAAGATTTTGCAAAACAAATTTTTTGTCCAGTATGTGTCGATGCATCAGCTCTTCAGGTCGACACATGCATGTTATAGGTCGACGCATGCTATGCCTTTGGCAAAACTAGAGTCACTATCCATTTGAGGTTGACACATAGGGCTCTTCAGGTCGATACATAGAAGTAAAAATGCTTC